TATTTTTATTTATTTATTTTTATATAATCGAATATATCAACCTAATCAAATTTTTTAATCTTATGATGAAAGAGGATTCGGAAGCGATGAGAACAGTTATAGAAATGAATGTTGAAGGAAGGAGAGGTAAAGGATTATCATAAAAGAGATTCAGGAATATAATTGAATGCGATATGAGGACGGCTGATGCGAGCGTAGTTGATGTGAGTGATCGTGTCAATTTGAAGTCAATGATAAGGGTGGCCGACCCCAAGTAGTTGGGATTAATGCGAGGAAAAAGAAGATAAGAAGAATCAAATTTTTTAATCTTAACTTTATTTCTAAAAAATATTAAATTAGTTTCGGTAATCAATTTTAATTTATATGTTAATTCCAACATTATTCGGCTCTAAAACTCGCCCAGATGAGTTATTGATCCTTGGTTTTTAATTTTTTTTATGAAGCTATAAAGCATATTGGGTAGCAANGGTTTTTTAATTTTTTTTATGTCACAATGTAATGTAATAATTCCTTATCCTTTGTGGTCAAAATAAAAATTTCTATGGTTTTCTAAACCTTACAAACTATACAATATACATACATTTTTAACATAATATGATATGCTAATCCCATCCCACAAAGACTATTAACATGNTGATCCTTGGTTTTTAATTTTTTTTATGAAGCTATAAAGCATATTGGGTAGCAATATTGTGATGAAATAGATTCAAAATTAAATTGGTGAATTTGAAATTGAAGTTCAAGGAAAAAACATTTTAATAACTGTGATCATTAAAGATTCGATAATTTGATATGTAACTATTTAGTAACAGTTTTTTTATTCATTTTTAATGAACGTTTTTTATTATAATTAGATATTATTTATCTTAGTACTTATCATCATTTTCATTTTTTATTTATGTTCATTAATTTTGTAATAATTTTATTGTAATTGTCATTATAGTATAAATTATTTTTCCTGCTAAATATATTACTTTTATTAGTCTGATAATAGATAACTAATATTTGAATACACATTGTGTATTAATATATTTAATTCCGAAATACAACGTATCATATTAGCCACATCTACTAAAATAGAACTAGTATAATCAAGTATTGTACTAAATTTTGTTGAAGAATATTGAAAATTATAAAAATTTATGTTAAAAATCAGTTTTAATTTTAAACCTTCTTTTTAGGTTTGAAAATCAGGTTTCGCAATATCACTGTTTTAAGAAATAAATTTTACTCTTAATAATAAAATATATACAGTATTTATTTTAAATATTCGATATCAGTAACAATTAGACAAAAAATCAATTTATTTTAACACAACCATATCTGTAAACACGTTTTAAGACAGAAGACATTATGTTTAATATGATTTTAGTATTATAATATTTAAAATTATTGACAAACATTATATTTACAATGGTGGGAAAAATATCTAATAATAATAACAGTTTATAGTAATTTAATGATTATATACAATTATAAAACTATTTCCTAATACAATTTAAAGACTTTATTTTAATCACGAGAGAAATATTTAAGCTCCTCTATAATATTATTATTAATACCATTTATACTTATATATTGATTATAATTTCGATAGTTTCAATTATTAAGTCATTGCCACATTATTTGAACCTATTTCAAAAAGAAATATTTGATAAAACAACATCTTTCAATAATTTAGGTTCAATTTTTAGATTTTCATTAGTCTTACCTGTTTAACATTTTATTCCTTTATATTTTATAGAATTTTTCAAAGCTTCAAATGCTAGTTTCTAGTTATAATAAGACGATTAATTTGCTAATAAACATTTTGAATAAGTATTAGTAATTGTAGTATATAGTTTATACTTACTGGTTTCATGATGAAATTCAAAGGAGTACCGTGTGTACCATAACACTAAAATTGAAATTAAGGAAAGTTAATAAATTATGAAGTAAAATAAGGAAGGAAGAAGCAAAAGCCTTGGCAGCAAGAAGAGGAGTGAGGCCAAGAAAAATATAGTTATAAAAATACCATAACGCA